CCACATGCCAGCCAGCCCCGCCCCCTGGTGGGCTGAGCTGGCCACACACACACACACACACACACACACACACACAAATAAATAAATAAAATTTACAAAAAAAAATGTATTTAGTAACCAGCTAATACACAGGCTCAATGATAATCTATGATAGTAACCACTGCTGCACTGCAGTGGTCGTGAGTCATGCAGAGTAAAGGTGAAAATCAGTGACCCAAGGTACTCTCACCCACCCCACTGACTTGGATGACAGGTGACTAGATTGTAAGGACTTCGCAGAATAGGCACGAAACCTCTGGGCAGTGCAGATGGCTGATGCAGTAAGGCATCTTCACTTACATTTTTCAGTGTCTTTTAATTTCTCAGAGGAAAAAGTGGCTCAAAGATACTTTGAGGAGTCAAGGGAGGGCAGAAGGTAAGACAGAGAAGAGACACTTAATGTGAAAAATCTTCAACCTAACTTAATGTCTTCTTTACTCATGAGACTTGACTTCTTCAGTCATAAAATCTGATCCACCTCAATACTGTCATGGACACCTGCTGAAGGCAAAAATACTATTCCTATAAGAATGTTTTATTCTGTTGAAGGCTCTAAACCTAGTTCTAAGGAAGGAACCATGAATCTACCTTTCACAAACATTCGACAATTATTTCTTTTGGCATATCTAGCTTTTCTTCACAAAGCAACCATCCTACACAAATTGACTGGTAATTACTATATGCTGATCTTGTAGCAGGAATACAAACAGAGATGCTGATTTGCCTCTTTCCCATTTGCATAATCTCTGAAGTAGGATCAAGGCACAGTCTTTAGTGGATCCGTGATGAGATGGAGAGTGTGAGCTCTGTTTTGGAAAAAAGTTTTCTAAGTTTTACATTATGTATACAGCCCATATCAGTAGGTTTTTTTTTTTTTTTTTTTTTTTTTAATGTAGCAGCATGGAAGAGGCCTGCCTTTTCTAGTTAAAACAAGGTGCTCTCAGAATGTCAAAGAATAATGGAGATTCTTAGGAAGGATTCTACTTCTCTCTTGACAATTGCAGAGTCTATGAACAAGCTTTCAAAATGAGTAATATGATTTACCAGAGGCATGATCTTACTGGTCATACCCTGTTCATTCACACCCTCTTCTTTTTCTATGTCATGGTGAATTTTAGGATGGTTTTAGATTAGTAGCCTAAAAAGACATGTTTAAATTCCCGGCATGTCATTCAGGGTGGATGCCATAGTCAATTAAAGGTGTGACTATTTTGTAAACTACCAAGTAAAAAAAGAAGCAACACTAAGAGCACCATTGTCTAGTTAGTTCTAAAGATCTGAGAAAGTTGAACATCTTACTTCCTTTCATGTCAGCTGTGACTCAGGTATGACAGCTATCATGAGCCTAACTGAGAACCTTAGGCAAAGCGGAGATGAGTGGTTTCATGTGGCTAGGAAGTAACTGACTAGGACAGCCCCTTGAGGACTCTTCCCACCAGACTACTAATTAGCTAACTGACAGGGAGCAAGGCCCATGAGGTAGGAACAGAGAGGAAGGGAGGGAGGGAAGGAGAGGGAGGGAAGGAGAGGGAGAGAGAAACTCTGATTGCCCCAGGATCTGCTCTCTTGGTGTCCATGCTAGGAGTCTCTTCAGTTATTCAGCACTTCTCTATTCAGATCAAAAAGTAAATTGGAAATACATTCACAGATGTTCCATGTGTCATCTTGATCTGAAAGTCCCACTTTTGCACATCTTACCTAAGCTGGACCGGGTGTTCGAACGTTCAATTATTGCTCTCTTGCTGGGATTATTTAGGACAGACCTCTTAGCAAGAGAAATGTCAGCTGTCACTCTCGTTATTGATATCCTATGAAGAGGAACACAGAAGAGAAAAAGCCAGTAAAAATGTTACGGGGCTCTGCAAGCAATTTATAACCACAGTACTTAATAACTACATTACATATTACAGTGGAACCACTGGATAATAGGCTTTAGCCACAAGTATTTTAAACAGGTTTTGGCTAATATTAAAACACAAACAGAGCAGAATGGAGGAAATATTTTGGCTATTAACTGAAAATCTATTCCAGAAAAAAATGTTCTACCTCCATTAGAGCCTGCCTTGCCAAATTCCCTTTATAATGCGTACCTCACAACACCAGGAGTGAATGAAAACATATGAATAAACCATGCTCTTTCTAGGAAGCAACAATACAAATTCTTCACAATTCACAGTTGATTTCCTCTTAAACAAGATTCAGAATCCAAAAACTCTGCCCCAGCATTTCAGTGCTGCTAGCCAAAGGGAAGAAGCCTCTTCATTTTGATCACCAATGACAATTAACTCATTAATAGCTAATTTGTGACACATGAAGCATTTCTCTACAGGCCCAAAGGGAGGCTTTACTTGTTAGAACGTGAGAAAATGGTTTCTGCAGGCATACAACCCCCAGCACATTCACATATGACTTTGAACTTATATGATGGGCAGGAATAAGACAGCATGAGGTCAAGGTGAGCATGCTACCAGAACTGTGGTGGATTAGAACATTTCCTCCAGTCATACAAGAAAAGAAGAACACAGTAAATGGAAAGAGACAGAGGAGTCTGTTTGGATATAATTTACCAATTGAGAACATCTGGAACTTAACATTTTAAAACCTTTTAAACTGAGACTACTTAACCTCCATTGATAATGTACTATAAATGAAAGTTTGCAAACAAAGGCCTAGGGATGTTGGGGGGGGGAGGAGAGAGAGGAGAAGAGGGAGGGGAGGGGGAGGAGGCAGGAAGAAGGGAGAGGGGAGAGGGGAGAGGAGAGAGGAGAGAGATTGCTTTCCTTAGCCAGTTACTGCCATCACAAGGCCTTTCTCTACCCTTATCTTCACAGTTTAGCAGGATTCCCAGAAAGAGGACAAGAAATAGCACCCTCCCCCTTTACAAAGTGCAAGTGTACCCATTTGCCTCCACGTTTAAACTCCTTTGGAAAGGGAGTAGAGTTATTAGTGATTACTGAAGCACATGGCCAATACTTTCAGCACTGTAAGGAGTCTTCGTATCTAAATCTAGTTACCTGAAGCTTTGAGAAGAATTTAAAATAATCTTTTTTAACAAATGGGGTTGGAAATCACTTCTTTAAAGCAACAGGCTATGCAAAAATTCTAATGCCATTTTAAAGCAAGGCACTGCTTGCCTATATTGTATTTATATGCTGTAGGAGATCTGGACTTTTTAATTTTTAATTTTAGAACTTTTAAGCCCTGATAACTATCTGAATCAACCTTAAATTGTCTTCTTGCAGAAACCAAAAATTTTGAAGAACTACCTCAGGGATCATTTGGAGAACAAGTTGGCAGGACTCAAACTATGTCACTGTCAATGCCAAACACCTCTGCATTTGTTTTTTATTTTTGGGTTTATACATGACTTCATTGTAAAAATTTGTTCAATTGCTAAAATACGTTGGAAAACACTGATGTAACAACTTCTTCATTTTTAGCAAGGAGGAAACTGAAGCAGAGGGAGTCCCACAGGGTTCTGTATCCTACAAGGATTTGAACTAGTCCCCTGGGAATCGGGCCAAGGTGTAGAAATCTGACTCCCTCATTCTTTTTCAGGTCAGTTTTCTTCTCCAGCAACCCGGAGTCCTCTGATATGAGCCATGTCATCAGTGCAGACCCACAGCCTTGGATGCAGGTCAGGTTGGCAGTGAGTGAACCCCACGTCTAAATCTCCTTGACTCAGTTAACCAGTGCATCTTTAAGCACCAAAAGCTCACAGGCAGCTCCTTTACTTTCTAGAGCAGAACTTGTGTGCTTCTGGGTCTCTTATGTTAAGACTGGAGTTGCTCGGTAGAAACATATTGTCGTGTTCCAGAGTAGTCCAAACACAATGACTGGAAACAAGTGAATGTCTTTACAGATAGAATTCAATCTTCTAGAATATTGGTTTTGGTAGGTCCAAAGATTCTATCCTGCTTAAGTGAAAATAAAATTACCTAGCTCTACACAAGCCAAATTGTTACTTTTGGTTTGAAAACTTCAAAGCAATCATTAACAGATGCATACACTATTATAGCTCTCTATTACAAAAGCATTTTTATAACTCCATTTTAAAAACACAACAAAAGTTTTAAAAAATAAGGCAAAAAAGGCTTAGTATATTAAAAAATAGGAAAAGATGTGGGCAATAAACATTTCTTTTTTGCTGTACTTTCCAATAAAAACACTAATTCATTTGCTACTATAACTTATTTGTTCATAAAAATAGACCTTCAGGAAGCAAAGCTCTAAAAAGGTAGACAGAGCCCCAGAAACCCTTCAATAAGACAAAGTAGGAGTTTCTCTTTTAAAGATGCTCATTATTATCAGAATTAGACCCCAACGCCCAAATTCTTTATAATATACATATTTTTATATAATATATAATATAAACATATATGTCTTTGAGGTCTGGTAAGCATCTTTATTAATACACATCTTCATAGTTTTCTTGGAAACTTTTCTGTGACATAAGTAGTTACATGCTGGCAGGTAAAGGACTAACAGTTCAGTTCCCCAGAAGACTGGGTATAGCAGCAAAAGTCCTTGAAATTTAGCAAACCAGTGGCACCATGGCTCACCAACTTAATTTCTTCCACAATTCTGGTTGCAAACCAAACTGGATGAAAACCAAATCAAATTTCCCCATAATGTCAACACTGACCCTACTAACCACTGTGTTTATATTCTCTAAATTAATAACCCTGTCTCCCAAGTGCTTTTACTTTGGAATTCATCTTAACTGCTGCAATCCATCAGTGTGTGTTAATTTCTTCCTAAAGATAATACTTTCAGTTATGACACAAAAATAGTACTTCATGTTGGTAATATAACAGTTGTGAAATCCTTCTATATTCTCTCCTTGTTACTTCTAATATGCAGCCCAATCAGCATACCTTTAAAAAAACTGAGTATTTGTAGGGGAAGTTCCAAAGAAAGGGACGGTACACTGTCAGAACAGGGATGAAAGGCACAGGAGGACCTGAATGCTTCCCTGGCTCTTTCTCTTGGTGGTTGCATGGTTGGTCATATACAACTCACGACATTTTTTTGGAACCTAGAAATCCTAATCAACAAAATAATGACAGCAGATGCATCATGACAATCTCCTGGAGTTACAATTAGGACCTAACAAGGTAATGTTTAAGACTACATTCTTAAATAATTATTCTCACTTCCTATGTGGACAACACCTATATTATGTATACAAGGCAATTACTGGGGATTTGAAGACTTGAAGGATATAGTTTCCTTAGATGCTGTCCTCAAAAGTTAAGCAATCAATAATAAACTCTCCTATCCCCAGAATTGATGAAATTCACATAAGCTGAAAGGAGTGGTGAATTAGGTCAGACATGATGTAATAAAAAATAATGTCAACATTCAAGTTTAGCAAAAAAGCATCTGATTATCTCTAATAATTAGCATCCAGTTTGAGTGTCCACAATGAGTTGACATTTGAATAGAGCTTAATAAAAGGAGATGATGGGGATGTTATTGATTATGAAACAGAAGTCACTGTTGGCTCTTCCACTTGTCTGCAATTATGAATTGTTTTCATTCCTGTGTACTGTGAGTGCTTTGTGATAGCATCAGTTGTTCCCATTTCCTTTATACTCTAAATGCATATTAAATACTTTTAATGTATATCATCTTTTAGTATCTCTCTAAATTGTACTCTTAGCTCTTCCTCTTTTAAATTTGTTTGCAATCCCTCTTTATTTTCATTAACAGTGCCTTGGCTAATAACTCCCATCTAAGATTCTATTCCTGCAGATTTTGAACTTCAAGGCATGACCATGTTAGTTACAAAATATCTGATAAATGATATAGAGCTGATTGGTTCAGTTATCAAAAGCCTAAAGTAACAGCTTTTAGAATATCTCAAATGATTGGCGTTGGTCCACACTCTACAACTGACTTGCTTGCTGTTTGGCCTAAGATTCAACCAGGTGAACAAATTTTATCAGAAAGCATGATATCCAGGGCATGTTTATGGTAATAAATGAAGGGGGAGGATCTGTGCCCACTGGCATGTACTGTGTCCTCACCAGGGTATGAGTGCCACTGTGGCTGGTTATAAGGCTCTCCTAGCAGTAGTCTGTGAGCAAGAATCACTAGAACCTGTAGATATTCATATAGCCAAAGGGCTCTCAGGAATAATTTAGCATTGTAACTTTCATTTTTCTTACATGTGTCACAGATAGGCCCACAACAGCAGCTACAGAAGCAAAAATTATATAATCAGTAGGTCTAAACTGAGTCAATTTTTAATGAAACAACAAACATTCAAATTTATGATTTTATAATAGTCAAGCAGTTGGACTTTAGTCTACTTCAGTGAACTGGCTTCTCACCAAGATCTGAAAAGGGGCATTAAATAAGAAATCTTCCCAGGTAATGGATCCTTTTTTGCTCTTTCTTTTTGAAGAATAAGAGGACATTCTCTTGATTATTTTGTTTAACCTACTGCATTCACAACCTATGATACACTAAATAGAACTTACTGTTTATGTTGTATCACTGGGCCTTCTGTGTAATTGTTCTCTTGGATGATTTCAATTAAAAACTATTTTTTTCATTAATCAGTAAAACAATGCAACAGCTTGTCATTGCTCAAAATGTAAGAGTATTTCCCATACAGAAGGCACATTAGTCACTGAGAAGCTACTGGCCAATTTTTGTCTTCCTTATTGAAGTCTCCACATACACTCATCAAAGAACTCATTGTTTTTGGGCTACATTAGCTTCTTAATATTTGAAATGTATATGTTTGTCCTACTCTGTCATACACAGTCCCCTTCACAGCTAATTCTCTGCCTGTCCTTTTACTGCTGCTAGATTCTTCCTTCAGATTCTCTGCCATATCATCAGACCCCATCAATACCTGGCTTTGAAATTTTAGTTCTATTTCTATTTAAGTGAACTTCAATTTTGTGTCTGCAGTAATTGATGTGGACAATCTACATTGATTGATTCAAGATAGATCTGTGCTATTATAATTAAATGAATTTCCTCTTTCTGGATTTTAGGCCTGAGGATGACAAGATTTTTCATTTTTGAAGCCAGGAATTAAGTCAATCACTTTTTCTTTACTAAATTATATAAAATCTTTTCTTTTTTTATTAGCCTTAGCTTTCAAAGTTCTAATGATTATGTTGTTCATTGGTTGGTTCTGTGGGGATCAAAATAATCCAACACACACAGAGGCTGTACAATGGAGATTTGTTCAGATCAAAGACAGCTAGGGCGGGGCTGGAGAGATGGCTCAGTGGTCTAGGGCACCTACTTGGAACAAGCTTGGCAAAGCACAGGGACCGCGGTTCGGTCCTCCAGCACCACATGCCAGCCAGCCGCGCCCCCTGGTGGGCTGAGGTGGCCACACACACACGCACACACACACACACACACACACACACACAATAAAAAAATGTTAAAAAAAAAAAAAAATTAAAAAAAAAAAAGACAGCTAGGGCACTAAGGCATGAAGCCCTGGCTAGAATGGCCTTCTGTGAAGGCTCCATAGGTAGAAACAAGTAACACCAAGCGTAGCTGAAGGAACTATGCAGCTGCAACCAAGAGCAGAAGCCTGTGCCGTGTGAGTCAGCTGCCTTTGATCCCTGCAGCGCTCCATGAAGGTCAGTGGTATGGCCCGGCAGGCCCACCACAGCGCAGAAGCAAGGCTGCAGCTTCTAAGCGGAGTCTCAGTTCAGCTGTTTGTTTGTAATACACTCTTAGGAGGTGAATCCCCAGAAGTTTTCAAACAGGAACAGATTGTCTATCTGATTGTGGCTGTGGCAGAAGGAAGATTAAGACTTGCAGAACGTCCTTCTCTTCCAGTGCCAGCGTTCCATGATCCAGTGCTCCTCACTGGTTTTCTTTGAAATTGGTCATTCTAATGCCTTTCTTCTTGGAAAAAAAACAGTAGAAAAGGATGAATATGCCTCTGTGAGCCCTCTGTATCTGCGAGGTGACTGTGGAAGAGACTGTTACTGGCTCAAATCAGGTGGCACCAACTTTCTACCCGATTCTCTCCTCCTCTGCTTCACTGTCCTTCCCACACAGGAACACATGCTTCACACTGCTAAGTGAGCAACAATAAACTTCTACACGGTTAAAACCATTATGCACTTTGGGTCAAATTTATTAAAGCAGGTTGCCTGATATTAATGTACTTAATAATATGTACATTAATAATGTACTTCAAATAACATCATAGAAGCATTATTCTTGAACTAATTTTTCAATTATTGGAACTAATATCTCAGTTTATTTTCTTTGTATATAGTCCCAGAAACTAATGATTTTTTTTTTTTTTTTTTTTTTTTGTACAGGGTCTACAAGGTCTCACTGCACAGATTGGACTCATAGTGATCCTCCTGTTTTCAGTCACCCAAGGGCTGGGATTACAGGCATGCACTGCCACACCCAGTCTCTATCACCATCTCAGCATGCCCGGGAGTGGGGCTGGCAGGGTACACCTGGGGATTTTTAATACGATTATCCAAGAAGCTTTTCTTTTGACAAATACAGAGATAGTTAGATATAATTTGTACATAAAGATTATATAGATTTATATATATAATTTATACTTAAAGCATTGAATTTTTTTCTTTAAAATGCTGTATATTTTAAAATCTGAAGATATTTAAATTTTAAAAATTAATTGGCCCATTTAAGGTGGTACATTGGATAGCATTACCCTGATTACTCAATATACATTATTTATATTATCTTCATTTTTTATTTATTTTTATTTATTTTTTTTGTCTTTTCAAAGTTTTATTGATAAACATATAGCAATGAGACAGTTTCAAATCAAATCGAAAGTACAGTTTCAACAAATAATACACTGCATATATTCTTCTTAGTGGTTAATTGCTGTACAAGATGCAGACTTGTGATCCTACTTACAAACACCATTAGAAAAAATCATTCTATTCATTAAGAGAATGCAACTATATATCTATCCCAACCACTTTGAATACACAGATACAAAATGGACATTCATAGTTATACCCCAATTTTTTTTAAGTTCCGTTGTTGAATATTATAGGTGTGTAAACTCAGCAAAATATTCTAAAAGAGTCCAGTAGCCCACAATAGCATTGGGTCTTCTGTTTAACTGGCAATGTCAGAAATTATTGACCTGAGTCCCCCACAGCTCAACATAACAACATGGCTTTACTTCCTATATTTCGTCTTCATACTTTTCTACTGGATGGTTAAGACCAAGGTAAAGCAGGACCTGTGCAACAAGAGTTGTAGCTTTTTGGTCTGACAAGGTTAGTGAAATGCCCTCAGGATTTATCCTGAGATCCTGTACCTCAGATTGTAGAACCTTTGTCAGTGTCAGCCATGTGGATGAGTCACGGCCAATGCTTGGCCAATGTGCTCTCTGTGAATGCCTGAGAGAGTGTCTTCTCCCCATGTGACTCTCCTAAGGCACACTCTACGTCATCGATCACTTTCTTCTTTGGCCCCATTATCTTCTTGATCAGAAAATTTGGGACATTACCAAGGTACATGACGTTACAGTACAAGTTCTCATATGTCCTGAGTCTTAATTGACCTTAGAAGGCTAGGGCCAGAATGTTGGCTTTCCTTGTAGCCCTCCTTTTTCTCTAATTTTGGTCTGCAAACTTAGGTTGTTAACCATCCAGAAGACAAGCTTATTGTTATTATCAAACGATTTAGGCTATCAAGCTTAACCTCACTATCTCACTGCATTTCAAACATCTTAGGCATAATAAGGAACAGGTATTTTTCATCAAGTATTGATATGTTGAACCTTAAGTCCCTACATAATATGATAAAGAACATCTAAAAATTAGATTATATTTTAAAAATAGGATAAAGAATTCTATGCTTCTCATGTTTGCACATAAGTCCAAAAATCTCACCATATACAACCTTGAAGCAGGACAGTCCCACAGTATTCCTTTTCCTGTCTCTATCTTCATTTTTTAATCACTTCAATTTTTTCATGTAGTTTTTATTAATTAATTTATTTATTTATTTATTTTTTGCGGAACTGGGGATTGAACTTAGGCCGTTGTGCTTGCCAGGGAAGCACTTATTCTACTAAGCCATCTCCTGGCCCTTATGTAGTTATTTTTACATGAAATATATTCTGCACTGTGGCAGAACTTGTGCTCTGTATTGTCATTACAGATTTTGACCATTTCTTTGAAAAACACAGAAACTCTACTGAGACATTTTTCACAATACTTAAAAGACAAAATTATTTGATGACTGGGCAATACTGATGATGGATCAAAGGAGGATGCACATAACGCAGACCTCTAAATTAACAAGACCTGAGTTAAGATGTAGCTTAGTGGTAGAGCACTGGCCTGGCATGCATAATGCCCTGGCTTCCAAGGCCAGCAAGGGTGTAGCAGATGCCTGTAGTTCCAGTTACTAGAGAGACTGGGATGGGAGGAGCATTGTATCTAGGAGTCTAAGCCCAGTCTGGGCAACACAATGAAACCCTGTCTCATAAAAGCAAGGAAGAGAAACCATGTCAGAAAGCGGAAGCCAAACTCTGAAAACTAAAATAGTAACCTTCTCTTTCTCTCTCTCTCTCTCTCTCTCTCTCTCTCTCTCTCTCTCTCTCTCTCTCTCTTTCTCCAAATAAGTACTATTTCCTGCAGTAGTCACTCTGGAGGGTTTGTGATGAAAATTATTCTTGGATTCTCCTTTTGAGAAAATTTAGTACTTTATACCTTCATATCACACACACACACACACACACACCCCTGTCAAATAATATTATTCACTGTGACCAGTGAGTGATAATATTCATCAGAAAAATGTATTTTAATTAATTTTTTCATGCAAACCACTTTGGCACTAATTCACTAGTAAGAGAAAATAAAGACAAGCACATTTCAATAAAACAAGTGAATTAAATTCCTTTGTAAGGCCCTTTTCTCTTCAGGGACTCAATGCTATAATTTATAATTTCAGAGCTTTTACTGTGTCCTTCCCAAGAGTACAGAATTAACTTTTAATTAGAGCACTTCTACCACCACTGGAATGTAGATTCACAAATCAATTTATCACACATGTCCAGTTAAAGGAAAAATAAAAATACAAAATGTCTATATGTCTCACCTCCCATCAAACCTGTGCTTCAGGAAATCAAAGAGGGCTTTCTGCATCATGTCTGTTACCTTTGCAGAGGTGAGAAAAAAAGAATGAGGCAAACACAGGCAGCGAGAGAGAAGTCAAAAGTGAGAGGGGAGGCAGGGTAGGGGCTGTGACTGAGAGAGACCTCATTACTACAACCAGTTGTCTCCCATGGGGATGTTATCTCTGAAGGTGTTTCTCATGCATAACTGAATGCAGCTGCTGCCCGCCCCCTCTGTCCTCCTCTGGAGTGCCGAGGAATGAGCCAGCAGCACTCACCAGGCCCACAGCAAGTCCTTTTCCCTCTTCCTTCATTAGGTGCTGGAAGTGCAGCTAGGAGACAAAAAGCTGGCCCTGTCCACAAGTGCTGGCCATCCTTGGCGTGCCTGGGCTGTGCTTGCCTCCAGTGAGGGACAGTGAGAGGCCTCTGAGCTCAGCTTTCCTGCTGGTCTGTGCTTGTTCACAAGAATTCTCCCTGCTCACTATCTTGCCCATCACTCTGATATTTTCAACTCAGGAAAACAAAGAGACCGGATTCTTAGATCTGTCTCAAGAGATTTGCTTATTCATTTAACCAATGTATACTAAGTGCCTACTATTGTCCTGCCTCAGTGGGAATGGAGCCCTGGAGGGTAGCCACCTTCAGATTTAAATGCCACCTCCTCCCTATTTTTACCTATGTTTGCCCAAATGGCAACATCTGAAATGTCATGCATTTAAATGTCCATTTTTTGCCTTAATGCATGGTTAATCTCCAGATTTTGCTAATATGTTTAGTGGGGTTTTGCCTCAATGTCCTTAAAAAATAAGTAAGACAGAACATATCTGGTAAAATATGCCATTGTCTCAAGCACCCAGTCAGGTGAAATTAGTTGGTACATTGAGGACTCAGGTTTAGTGGAAGACGGTATCTATTCCCTTGTGCTGTTAATTATTTTTGTTTCTATGAATAACAGCAAAGGTTGAGATAACTGAAGTTTTGCTCTTTGAATTTAATGCAAAGTGAATCTTCTACCAGAATTTCCCATTGCAAATGTTTTGAGGGCGATATTTCTAAACAATGTAGTATATAAAAGATGAAACATGTACAAGAAAGGAAAGAAAGGGCCAGGGCCACCAAAGTCATTGCTGTACCCTCCTCCTTGTGGGTGAATGTAGCTGCCCAGAAGTTCCTATAGGTGAACAAACCCTGGAGGAGCAAGCACCCCCAGGCCTATCTCCTGGGTTCTCCGTCAAGAGAAGAGTAACAGATGGCATCTGTACCTCATAACCTTTCAGTGACGGCCCCACCAACACCACTGGACGCATTGATGGCACAACGTCGTAAGGAGGAATGTGCTCCGTCTGAAAAAGATGATTTGACATGCACCACATGGTCAGTCTGACTGTAACATCCGGGCAGCTGAAACACTTACAATTTTCAGGCAGAACAATACATGATTACCAACGGTCCCCACAGAGGAGGCTCCGCCCTCAGTTCAGAGTCATTTAGACACTGAAATGGAGCTTTGCCGGCAAATATGTATAGGTACCTTAACAGTAAGTTTAAAAAAGGAAACACAACTTACCACTTTTTGCTTCTGTTTTGCTAAAAGACAACAATGAGAGCCATATCAAAATATGCAATCTCTGTAAGTGATAATACATGAGTTTAACAGAAGGAAGAATGTACCCAGTTTTCCTTGTAATTACCCTCACCACTTCCCTATCTCCCACTCTGGAAGGTGCAGTTTTATGATTTCATTCTGGAACCACCATTTTTGAAAACATACGAGAAATACATAACTTCCTTCCAGTGTAAATAACCTTCTGTCTTGATTTCATGCTGGAATTGGGCTGGGGTGCTAAACAGGCTCTCCTCACAGCCCTGGAAAGTTTTAGCCATGGGTTGCTCCTGGGCTACCCACACCCCAGAGTAAGCTGCAGACAATAAAACGTGATAGGATAGAACAGTGACAATCTGAGCAAAAATGACTCATCTCACAGTCACTAGTGTACGTATGGTGAACCATGAGATAACTGCAGGTTGTTAGTCATTTTTGCCCATTTTCTAGAATACTGACAGAATTTTTTTCTAATATGCTGCTTTCAAACTTCAAATCAAGGGACAAGTACTTATTCATCTTCTTTCCTGTTTCTGTCCTGTTTCTTTTCTTTTCTTTTCTTTTCTTTTCTTTTCTTTTCTTTTCTTTTTGTGGAACCGGGGATTGAACTCAGATCCTTGCGTTTGCCAGTCAAGCGCTTATCCTACTGAGCCATCTCCCCGGCCCCTCTTTTCTGTTTCTCATAGTGAAGAGCTACTATGTCCTGAATGTCCAGCAAAGGGGAATGAAGCAAAACTTACTTAATAACTGATGAAAGCAGCTTTGGCACCATTCACACAGGTCCTGTCTGCTGGGCAAAACCTAGCTGTGCAGTATGGTTCAGAGCTGTGGAGATCAGGAAGATCTCCACATATAAGAACCTTGTACTCAGAATGGCTGGAGAGCCAATCTAGTTGTGACATGAACAGATCTGCCATTCGGAACTGCCAATACCTACTATAGCATCAGATCTGGGTCAGAATGAGATGACTCTACAGGAGTCAGGAAAGTGGTGGAAGAAAAATTCCTGGGAGGTAAATATCCATAATTTCCAAAGGCACAGCAAATTCCCTCTGACCCACCACTTCCTCCATTACTAATTCCAGCTGTCTGCTCTCCAAACATACACATGAGTCGTCTGGGTCCTTGCTCACTCTCGGCTTCACTAGTCCCCATTCACAGCTTAGACCATATCAACACAAACCTAAAGTTCCACATGGAAACTGAGCACAGCCCTGGCTTCAGAGCCCCAGGTTCTTTATTTCTATTGGCCCTCACCATCTTAAAGGCCATTAGGATGTTGGCTAGGGAGTGAACGTGCTGCAAATCAGTTCACTTGATGGACAGTTACTAATCTTTGAGGTACATATGATTTTTCAAAATTACAATATAATGATCTGAATTTTTATATCTCTCAAGTACTCTTCAAGCCAAATTATCATAGAAAGCAAAAGAACAACGAAGCATTATATAAAAAACCTTTAAATCAAGCCTTTAACTAATATCCAAATTAGTAAAAATATTCACACATGTATTCCAATATTCAAAAAGAAACATACTCTATTAAAAAGACTAACCTAACTCCTCACCTGTTGATGTGGGAGTTGCTCGAAATGTCCCTGATACCATTTCTCCAAGACTTGAGGAAGAATTTCCACTTGATTTCCTAGGATATAGAAAGGAGCTTAAGACTCCTCAGATTCTTTGAAAATGGAATTTGAGAGTACAAGGTTTTCTTTGGCCATAATGCAACTAAATTATTCAAAACACACCAAATCCTGCTAGAGAAGAACTTCAAGAATCTGTTCCAATGTTTTCTTTGAACTCACTTCTCAGAGAAAATGGACAAGTAATGAAAACCTGAAAATATTTTGTAAAAGTATCTCTTCCACTTATTAAATGCAGAAATTAGGCAAAAGAATCCCTGGCAAGAATGTTCTTGTGAACTGCCCACTTACCCAATACCCATCACCAGCGTGCCAGCCACAGGTCAAACACAGCTCAAAACAGGCCTTGAGACCTGGAGGAGCAATTTCTTAACTATGATTGTGAGGGGTAAAAATTAAGAGCTGGCAGAAAGAAGCTGTTCATAGGTAATGTTATTTGTGACCTGAAATGAAGTTTATCGGTCACACTTGAGTCCTCCCATGGGCTTTGGAAGTTTCCCTGGTGCCCTCGGAGGTCCTTGGCAGCTCCTGCCCGAGTGTGCCTCCCTTTTTGTGCCTCAGCGTATTCTCTGCAGTTAGAGCAATCTTGTTTCTCACCCCTGGCTTGCCCCTTACTAGATGGGGGACCCTATATACCATAGTTAGTCTTGGAGCCTTAGTTTCTCTTTTTCTTTTCTTTTTTTTTTTTTCTTTTTTTTTGCGGAACTGGGAATTGAACTCAGGCCCCTGGCTTGCCAGAGCAGCACTTATTCTACTGAGCCTTCTCCCCAGCCCCTAGTTTCTCTATCTTTAGATGCAGAAGCTAACTACTCCTCATAGGGCTGGTATAATGATCAATAAGATCCTGTCTATGAGTTCCTGGCATTAAAGCTTCTCCTGCCATGGAGTTAAATATATACACAGTATTATTGAA